CAAATCTTAGGAGGCATAAACTGCTGCCTTCTTTGCCAAATTGCAAGCAAGAACAAAATATTAATTTTCAGAGACAGATCCTCCCAAGTGTTCCAAATAAAAGATTTGAAGTCAACCAACATGAAAGATCCCCTTCAATCGAACCACTGAAGAGTTCACAAAGAGTATTCTTCAAATGCAAACAATTAATATGAACAAGCCTAAAGGAAAATTTGAGCAAACCACCCAATGGAAACACAACAGCGGGAATTTGACCACCAGAAAGGGATTTAATAGAGTAGAAACATCGCTGTATCATCGATAGAAAGGTAAAAAAGAGAAGCCAAATTCCATGAAAGAAAACCTTTCTAACGTAGACGGCGATTCTATCTGAGAACCTAAAGCTCACAAAACGACGATCTACTAGAAGGAACCCATGAAGGATGGGAAAAAGAGATACGGTGAAGTGGGGACAGATTAAGAGATGGTGAATTGGGAGAGAGAGGAGCTAACCAGCGCATGGCGCTCGCCGGCCTGGAAGGAGATCTTCTGCTGGTTCATGGCCTGTGTGTAAACCTGCGACAGCGAATTGGCGGCAGCGCAGAAGGTGGAGTACAGCGTTCGATCCGCCTCATCGAGCCCCATCGCCTCCGATTTCCGCTTCCTCGCCATCAATAGAACCAAGGGGCAAGACAGATATCGACCAGAGAGGGAAACGAAACCCTATCCTTCACGATACCCCGACCTGTTTCTCCTACGCAAATACAAATCCAAACCCGAACGCCAAGGAGGAGCAAAGAACAAGAACCACAAGAACAAAAGAATCGATAGAGAGATTGTGCCTGTCGATTAAGAACAAGAACCAAAACAATCGACGGATCGTAGAGACGCGTCCTCGGCGTCGGTGATTTCCTGCTATTCCACGGTAGTCTGGATTGGGCTGCTCTCGTCTTATATGGATTACCCTCTCCACCATCTGGTTGGTACCCTCCAATTTTACCTTCGAAGAAGCGCTACATCTTGATGGTTTGATCTCACCACCATGATGGAGATCAAACGGCCAAGAAGCAACTTCAATAGGAAAAGCTCGCGGTTGCATTCCCTCCCTCCAAAAGCCAACGCTTTCCTCGCCGCCTTCCATATCGGCTCTACCGATCTCCATAATCCCAAGGCGGGCAAGTTGTTTCTCCGCCGCTTGCACGAAACCCTAAGGCTCAGCCTCCTCCACCATCGACCCTTCTCGCATTCGGCAGTGGCGGCGATTACCCCATAGGAGGAGGCGCTGGACCATCTCGAGTACCTGGAGGATTTCGTACCACGACTCGAAGCACGTGGAGACGGCCATTGCGGATCCTCGCGCTGCGGCTGGAAAGAACGATGCGGCCAATAAGAGGAAGGCCGGAGGCCGGAGGGTCCCCAACATCGTGTTCGAGCAGGCGAGCGGGCAGGTGTGAACGAGTGGCTCATCACCCGGAAGCTTGTCGACCATTTAGCCTGCCTTTCTTCCTCTTCAGGCTGTCAAGGTGCGGTCCTAGTTCGCTGACTCGGAGAAGCTCATTGAGACGGTCCGCGTCTTACCAGGGAAGGAAATTGAGAAAAGCTCGAACCTTGTTCGACTTTGCTTCACTTTTGTTCGCATTGATAGGCACTTAGTTTCTGCTCAATTTAGTTTCTTTAAGACATAAATAAAGAGTGATAGTTTTCTCGGTCAGTACCTGAATTTGTACGGGAAATAGAAAAGATTTAGCATGAGGAGAGGTGATAGATTCTTTTCCAGATTGATATTGTAGTTTTATGAAGGTTAATTTAGAGTAGGCCACATTTCCTCAAAAGATTTGAATAGCACATTTGGTCTTAATTGTAGATCGCATTCTTGAAGAAAAACTTGAATATGTTACAGTAAATGATGACAAAATCTCTACTATGATTCACTCATAAAGGCTGTTTTAAGTGCTATTATTTACAACTCTGCAAGTGAAACTGCAGTAGGAATACTAAGATCTGATATTTTAGAAGGCAGTATTTGGATTATTCATGACACTGGTCTATATACCCGGATTCAGATAGTGAACAGGCGATAGTGGCAGTATTTGGATTCAAATAGGATGGTATTATGTTTATGATTTCAGTGGTTGGGATGATATTTTCTTTTGTGGTGAACATGCCATGATTTATCTTGGACAATAAGTTGATATATCCACTGATTGACACAATATTTTCGATTGACCATGTAAGTGGTTTCTGAAGCACAGTAGAACCCATGTTGAAAAGAATATTTGGGAAAAAGATTAAAAAGGGGAGTATTGAGCTATGTATCCCTTCTCATCTGTCCCAAGGATGGGATTTTGTGTGCTCCTCTTCTTTCCTTCATTACTTTAGCAGCACAAATAAACCCCTAAAAAGGGTCTGTTATCTTCTTTCTGGAAGTCATGATCTTTATGCAAAAACAAACAATTAACTTTAGCGTTGACTTGGGGAAGTATGTCTTTGCTAGCTCCAGCTTCTATCAGAATTGTTGTAATGGAAATAATGAGATAAGGGACAGTCCAGAAGATAGCAGAACTGGGGATGATGGTGATGAGGAGGATGACTCTGATGGGCTCCCACAGAAGATAGAGAATGTCTCAGGGAGTTTGGATTCTTCTTTTAAGATACTATGTGAGTCAATTCAGAAGTTTGATGAGATCTATGAGAAGATGCAGAATCACAAGAGGCAGCAGATGGCAGAGCTGGAAAGGATGAGGAAGGAGTTCCAAAAGGAATGTATAGCTGCTGAGAAGGTAGATTCTGGAAAGGGCACAACTGGATATTGCAAAATTAAGCTGGGAACAATGGCAGGAAGATCATGATAAAGATACAAATGATAGGGAGGAGGAGGATGTCGATGGTAATGATGATGGTTCTGCTGAAAACTTAAGTGGGTAGAGTAAGCATCAACCATGGAGTAAATTTTCTGTTCCTGATTGGCTTTACAGAATTGGATTTTTTTGTTAATATCATCTTGTCTTATTGTATGGTGGTACATTGAAGCTCCATTATTGTTTGTTATTATTTTTGCTTCTTATTCGTCCATTAGTTTGGTTTTGTGAAAAGAATCATCAAGCTCACATCTAGGTAATGTTATTAAGTTTATCATATTTTATGTTGTCGGCAGCAGCACTTAAAAGAGTTACTTCAGTAGCATCTTAAACTGCACAGTATTGTTGGAAAGCTTTTATGATGTTGGATATGGACTTATCATCTAGAAAATGGTTGTGCATTTAAATTGGATAGTTTTGGATCTGCATTATTCCAATGTTAAAATCTTCCCAATTTTGTTTGCTAGTGAAAAAAAAAGTATATTTTCTTCTAAATTATAGGAATTTAAGTGGACATACAAAACCTAAGTTGATCTTGGTAAGTGCTTGGGCTGCACTAAATGTCTTGAACTTGTTCTCAACTTGTTCATAGTATTTGTCCAGTACAATTATATTTCTGTTCATTTACCTAATTCCTATTGTTTGATCACGCTTTAGATAGTCATATTATGATATATTTGTCTTTGAAAATTGAAGAACTATTGACCGATGAAGGTAACCAAGAGTAGAATATGATCCTACATAATTTTATTCCAAAACAAGGAGAGTCCTACTATGTTTCTTAGTTGCTTAAAGAAAAAGATGATAACCTCGAAAATTTATTAGGATACTAACCATCCGTCTTTTACTTTTACAGAAAGTGTGTAATTTTTATAGATCACATTGATATTACATAAGCAAATTCCGGTGTGGCTTGTTCCATGCTTCTGATTTATTGTTTTCCTGTTCTTGTAGGTTTATAGCTGCATCCTTTTACCTTGCTGCCTTTGAATTAGAAAGAGGAAGCCAATGTGGAGCAATGGCTCCAAGAGAGCCAAACAGGAAAGTCCACTCAACATCTGATTGCAAACAAAGGCACGATGTCTTGTTCAGAGCAACAGAGAAATCTTTGTAAGATGTCTTGAGAGCTTGCTAACATTGCAAGAGTTGGTGGGGTTTCACACCATTGAGATCGTACTACTGAGTTTTGTAATATTGCAGCTGTTCCTTAATTGAAAGAAGGATCTTTCTTTAAAGAAAATTCATCTCCCCAATGTGCTTTAGATGCAACTTTTGAGATTTCATATGGCTGAGGCTGAGCATGTTTTTTTGTTTCCATTATGTTGATTAGTAGCTCATTGAAGCATCATAGCAACATGTCTGTGACCTCCTTCCTTCTCCATGATGGTTCCTCCATTAAGGAACTTTTATTTTCTTCCCTGTGCCTTGTTTCCTTTCAGTGTCCAAAACTGGTACAGAGTGCTGCAACTTGGAACTTAATTTCCTTCTTGACAGCTTTGCAATCCATGGCCTATCCATCATCATAAATCGACAAGTCATTTTCTTTTCAGTTCAACCAATACAAACCTGTCACATTCCTGAAATCCATTGCTTCTCATCATCATCTTCTTCTTCTTCAACACCACCACCATTACCAAAGCCTTCAGCATCCACGTTGTGGTGGCCGGCAGAACAAACCAAAAGCAGAGATCTATTAAATAAGGTGACCAGAGACTGGGTGTGTGACATGGTTAGGATGGCATTATGATGCAAGCACAAAGCTACGACTAAAAGTAGATGAACACATGCAATACCTGTTCCAGCATATTCCACCATTGTTATCTGCGGCATGACTTCAATGTGGCCTCCATTCCCCGCTCACAGCATTCTTACCCAAACCCACCTGTAACCATTTGTTTCCTTTGGCCAACCTCCACATGCCTCCCCCCCGGCAAGAGATTCCCCACATTAAGCTTGTCTATGTTTCTCAAGTCACCATTAGATCATGTGAGCTGTCCCAATTGATGCACGGAATGAAAAGAGTTGATAGAGATATTTCTACTGTATCTAATTCAGCAAAATTAGGATACCAGGAGTGATGGGAACCCACTTCGATTCAATGATTGTTATTGAAGTTGAGGTAAATGCTTATAAGTCGAGCTCTCCCTCCCTCCCCCCCCCAACTCTCTCTCTCTCACTATCACTCTCAATGGAGGGTATCTTGGAAGCAAATGAAACAAGGGAGGCTGTTTCTTGAAAGCTTCAGCTGGCTCTTACAGAGTCGATCGCTGGTAGCTTTGCAGTGACCGTACGTGACAAGGCCGGATGGGGAGATCAGCCCTCGTGAGGGTGCTGGATTGTTTGTCGCTCGCGGTCTCCCCGGGTTCTTGTGTTTGCATGAACACTTGGGAGGAGGAAGAGGAGGATGGCTTTGAGGAGAAGTCACTGATCAAAAGCCATGTGGAGCAGGTTTTGAAGATCAAAGACGTTCTTGACGGGGGGAAGACGACGCTGGCTTTTCATCTGGAGCCCAAGGTAGGAATTCTTCTCGCATTTAGTCGCGTACGTGATAGAGATATCAGATTTCGGAACTCGTCTCTGTTAATTTGCAGACCGTAGTGCTGAGGGTGTCGATGCACTGCAATGGTTGCGCGAGAAAGGTTGAGAAGCACATATCAAAGATGGAAGGTAGGTAGCTTCTTTCCCATTCTTCTTCTAGTCTCAACCATCTTTGACGCCATCTGCACAATTCTATCCGCAGGAGTGACCTCCTTCCAAGTGGACTTGGCGAACAAGAAGGTGGTGGTGGTGGGAGACATCACTCCCTTCGAAGTCCTGAAAAGCGTGTCAAAGGTCAAGTTTGCAGAGCTGTGGCTGACCTGAACACGGTCATCAAAATCCAGCAAGACATTTGGCCTCAGATCTTCTCTACATTTTCCTTTTTCCTCTTCATTTTGTACTGTATGTGGGGGGAAAAGCACCGAAAGAGCTAAAGACATGGTGGTGGGTGTTGTCATCGTCGTTGGTGATGATTCATTGACTATGAAAACATGGTTTCATGGTTCAATCAATGCTGAAGGATTGGCAATGGCAGCAAAAGTCCATCCATGTCGACCACATGTTCACAGCCGCTGGGGGCCAAAGCATGTGGTTTTGTTTGCAGAGTCGAACGAGAGCGAGGGTGGGTGGCTTTAAGTGGGACAGTACCGCAGTGCTGTGTGCTAAGCTGGTTGTTCATCTTATCCCATCACCCCCATTGGGATCTTGTCAGAATCCACCCATCGCAGATCATGCTAAGTTGGGTAAACGTCTCTAACGCGGCAAATCTACTGATGGTTTTTGCCAGATATAATTATCGATATCGGATCATATGTCAATCCGATCATGTTTTGGATCACGGATCTAACTGGTTGAACTGATCCAACTGCATGTTTAAATAAGACGAGAGTGACTTCGTACCTGTCCGCAGACAAAAAAAAACCTTAAATAATAAATACATGATAAGGTGCGAACACGATCATGTGAAAGACATGCACTAATCTCCATGATCGCCAATCATATATGTTAGAAAACAAAGTAATCTTAGATTGTTCTTCCCTTGTTGATGATATGTTAGAGGATGGATGAAGAATCGCGAGGTAGTCCAATTAAATCGACGACATCCCTCTGTTTTCTACACCAACTTTATTACACTCAGTTGCAGAAGATCCGCCTCTTCTCGCCCAGGATTGATTACGCAGTCTGTTTCAAACCAGGAAGAGATAAGATCGACTGCAATCGTTCATGTGTCTCAGACGGACGATCAAAAATGTAATCTCAACATCATGTTTTTCGTATTTTGAAGGTGTAGTTTTTCCGAATGATGTGATCGGTGATTGCGGCCAAAAAGATTATTTTAGGGTTCACATTACTCGTATAATCACCATGGCTGATGATGTTGACGACGACGACGATAAAGCCCACTATGGCTGTTCCCAGCACTCGCCACTCCACACAGCCAGTCAAAGGCACTCTCAGAATGGGCTTCACCGTCACCAAGTCGCCTCCGGCGCTGGTGTCTCCCTCCCAGCCCACGCCTTCCGGCCGCAACCTTCCCCTCTCCTCCATCGATCGCAAGGCGGCCGTCAGGGTCTTGGTAGACCTGCTGCTGCTTTACGAGCGCGGCGACCAGCCCGCGAAGCTCCTGAAGGGCGCACTGTCCAAGGCCCTCGTCGTCTACTACCCCGTGGCCGGCCGGATCGTGGAGTCGTCCAAGCCGGGCGAGCTCGACGTGGCTTGCACCGGAGACGGCGTGTGGTTCGTCGAAGCTTCCGCTGACTGTACTCTGGAACAAGTTCGCCACCTCGAGCTCCCTCGCCTGCTGCCCAAGGATGACCTCCTCCCGTTACCTCCGCCTCAAGTGGACTTGGACAGCTTGATCCTCTTGCTACAGGTAACGCTTTCTTCCTCCACGAACTAAGAACATGTTTGCTTGTGTTATCCATCGAGAGATGATTACTATTTTGTAATAGTACTAATTTTAATTATATTTATTGTTAGAATTCGATTTTTAGTCAATCTTATCATGATTAGCATGCATTAGAGTCCATACCAATTCAATCTAAAAGAAATTAAACTTGTTAAATTATACATCAGCCCTATATATATATATATATATATATATATATATATATATATATATATATATATATATATCGATTATCCCTTTTAGTCTTCTTTTCACTCTCTCTCTCTCTCCTCAATTATTTTGGTCTTCAGATTAATAAAATTTTTTTTTTCTTTTTTTGATTTATTTTTGTTTTTTGTTTCCAAATGAAATCTAAAATCTTCCACAAAGACTTACTTCAGTCGTCATAGCTGAGCTCAGGTCACTCAGTTTGCCTGCGGCGGATTCGTGGTGGGCGTCAGGTTCAGTCACGCAGTGTTCGACGGTCTCGGGGCAGCCCAGTTCTTGAAAGCCGTCGCAGAGATCGCAAGGGGTCTTCCCGCACCCACCGTTGCGCCGATCTGGAGCAGAGAATTCATCCCCAGCCCCACCAATCTCCCGTCACCACCACCGTCACCGCCACAAGGTCTTCTGCCATCCTTCACCGCCTTCCCCTTCGTGACCTGCGCTCTGGATGTCCCCGCGGACAGCATCAACCGGATCAAGAACCGGTGCATGCAAGAAACTGGGCGCAAGTGTTCCAACTTCGACGTGGTGACTGCAATGCTGTGGCAGTGCCGGACGCGAGCTGCCACCCTGGAGCCGGCCCACCACGTCCGCCTCGGCTTCGCCGCCAACATCCGTCACCTGCTGCACCAAGTTCTGCCCCAGGAAGGCGGCTACTACGGGAACTGCGTGTTCCCGGTGGGCGTCGCAGCAACCAGCGGGAGAATCGTCAACGCGTCGCTCGTGGAGGTGGTGAGCATGATAAGGGACGCTAAGGAGCGGCTGGCCGCCAAGTTCTTGGAGTGGGTGATGGGGGAGGAAGAGGAGGATCCGTACCGAGTGCTGGTGGAATACGGGACGTGCGTGGTAGCGGACTGGAGCAGGATTGGTTTCTCGGAGGTGGACTACGGGTGGGGAGATCCCGTAGGCGTAGCTCCATTGAACGATGACAATGACTTCATTGCTACGTGCATCTTTCTGAGGCAGCCTGCACCGATGCAAGGCGTGCGGTTGTGGACGAGATGCGTCGTCAAGGAGCACTTGGCGGCCTTCGCCGATCAAGTTATGGAGTTTTGCCAAAGTTCTTGACGAATAAGCGAATTGTTTGCTTGTCTCTCAGTTGCTATCGTCGTCGCAATATATATATATATATATATATATATATATATATATATATATATATATATAT